TTAAAAAAAATACAAGTCAATGGCACCAAATGTTTTAGCACCAATGTGCCAAAAAAAAATAAATAAATAAATACAAATATGAACTTTGTTTGAATTCATTGAAAATCGGACTTACATAATCAAAACTGTGAACTTAGCATGGAAAAGAGATAAGGACTTACATAATCAAGTACCAATGAGACTGAAGGGGAAGAAGTTTTAAGACAACTGTCTTACATAATTAGAGATAGAGCTGACACCAAAATTTTCAATCCACATTTCTTAATGGTCTATCGTTTCATAGCAATCTAAGTTTAGGGACAATCCTAATATCAAAGGCACCGTTATGAAGCAACTAATATTTTAAGGCAACTTTCTCAACAACCAATATTGTCAAACCAACATTTAGGATAACCAACAATCATATTTTGAAAACCTGACATATTAAGATAACCAACATTTAGGTACAACTGAAATATCAAGGAAACCATTGGAGAAGTTGGATTCGTGCTTGTATTTCCATGACAAATTACTCAATAATTATAAATGGAAAACCAAGGGGTAAAATCATGGTTTCTTAAGGCCTTAGACAGAGTGACCCCTTTCCCCTTCCTCTTCATATTGGTGACTGATGTTTTAAGCTGGCTTCTTCTTCAAGGGACATGAAAAGGTCTTATTTCGGGATACATTTTGAAAAATGAAGCTTTAAGCATCAGCTCACAGATGATACTCTACTCTTTTCTAGTAAAGACCCCACATAATTCAGAAATTTACTCCACATCATCAAGGTATATGAACTGGCTTATGGTCTTAACAGAAACTACAAGAAATCAGATATTTTTGGGGTTAATTTGGAGCATCAGTTTACCACTTCCATTGCAGAAGCTGCTGGATGTAAGGTTCTAGGGATTCTCTTCTCAATGGAAACAGCCAAATGGAAGCTTTTTGGCTTCCTATCATCAGAAGAATTGAGAACAAGCTCTCCAATGGAACCACCTTTACATATTCAAAGGAGGAAGACTTGCCACCATACAATTGACCCTTTCAAATCTTCCAACTTATTACCTCTCCATTTTCTACATCTCCAGTAAGGCTACCAAAAGAATTTAGAAAATTTTCTTTGGGATTTCCTTTGGGAGGGCACAAATGGGAAACGACAACCTCATGTGTAAATTGTAACAAAACACAACTTCATCTTCAGGAAAATGGCCTCGACGTGGACAACATAAAAAATGAACTCATCCCTCCTCTCAAAATGGGTCTGGAGATACCTAAATGAAAAATATCACCTGTGGAGGACTTCCATTGCAACAAAATATGGAAAAGCCACCGTTATGAATGGCCTACGTCAAATTCCCATCCTTTCAAAATGGATGCTCTCTTCTCTCTCTCCAAGGGTCCAGCCCCATTGGTAAGGTTTCTTCATCTTAGCTCTTAAATTTGAGTTTGTTTTTCTCCTCCAAGATTGTTTTTAGTACATAAGATTCAGTGTTCAAGTTCAAAGTTCAGTGGTTAGTATCAAGATTTGATTTAGAGCCCTTCCATTTTGGTTTAGCCTTCTCAAGATTGCTCTTAGTTCATTTTTGAAAGGTTCTTTCAACTGCTTGCCATCGAAATTAACAATTCAAGAATAGGCACACTACTGCCTTGGTTTGACAATGGAAGTTTTTGCGTGAATATATGGCCACCAGCTTTTTGCTGCTCCTTCATCTTTCTCATTTAGCATGGTTTCAGAGCCCATTTGTTGATCTGATGCATAACCCCTTCAAGAGAACTTTTTCAAGCAAAGCAGAGATGTTCATGGAGGAACTTTCAGGATCTGAAAGTTAAAATTTAACCTAAAATTTGAAGTTGGCCGCCTTCTGGGGGAAGGAAAAGAATTTTCATATCTGCAGGTTTCAACTTTCAACAAAAAAAAAAACGGTTGGTTAGCCACAAATGTCAGCCACAAGTAACTGTTCTTGTCCCTCCTATGCTGATATTCTTAAAGAAAAGAAAGATTCGTTTCATTTAAACTCAAATCTATCAGAATCAGTGGAACCCTATCAAAGATACAAAGGCCACTCTATTTTAGTCCTATTGGGTGGTTAAAGCCGTCGAACCACCATTAGAAGCTCAATATTGACGGACCTAGGTAGCACGGACACGCTCAAAATAAAGAAGTGTCGGTTTCCGACACGTGTCCGAAATTATTTTTTTTATTTTTTTTATTTTAAAAAATCTTACACGCTGGGGACACGTTGAGGACACGTCTGGGACACACGAGTGTCTTTTTTTTTCCAATCTTTCTCCTCCCACTTCCAGATTCTATATTTTTCCCCTTTTACCTAGTTTTCTTATTTCTTCTTCATCAACCGACGACCAAGCTAGAGGTCTTTAGTTCTTTCTTCTCTAGAAACCAAATAAAAATCGACCCAAAAGTCACGTACTCCCCCAAACTTATAGAAGATAGGTGAACAAAGAAGAAGATAAAGAAGAAGGAAGATGAGGCAGCAACGTTGAGAAAGGAGAAGGAGGAGAGGAGGTAGCAGGTTGTGATGAAATAGATAAAAACTAGGGCTAGATTATTAAGTGGGAAGAGGGAATCAAAGATGAAAATAAGGTCTTCTTTATTATGAGAGAAAATTTGAGGCTAGAGTTATTTATATAATCATTTTCATTTAAATATTGATTAAAAATCATACGAATAATTAACGTGTCCCCCATGTCGTGTCCTATTTTTTTCAAAATTGACGTGTCGCCGTGTCCGTGTTGTATCGTATCCGTGTAGCGTGTCCGTGCTTCTTAGCTGACGACTTGCCGTGTGGAAATCCTGGATCGGCATGTTCTAGTGGTCTTATTTAAGACTCGAACAGAAATTGAATAACTGGTTTCATGCATAACCTCGGTCATTCAACTTCGAATCTAGCACAATTGTGGGGTGTTTCTTCCGCATGGAGCTTACTTGAAATTCGGGTTACGGGAATTTATTGGGAGGTAGGCTCTCGGGTGGTTTGTGACATCTTGACTAAGCGTTCGCATTATGCATGACATAATTATCGAGAAGCCAACTCCTGTTCTCATTATTCTTTTTCCCTTCCTTTGGGCCTTTATATTTGTGATAGTTCTCCTACTGGGCTCTATGCTTTTCTGATAGCTGATGTTATGGGCTCTATGCTTTTCTGATAGCTGATGTTATGTGGGTCTCCATGCCCCGGCTTATTACCTCTTCTTGTATTTAGGGCTTTAGCCCCTTTCTATTCCAAAACAAGAGTGTTAAAGAAATAAAAGACTCTTTCCTTCAAGCTTATCCCTTTTTCTATACTAAGAAAAAAGATTTGAATGATCTACCAGAACCTACATTCATGCAGATCCATAATGAAGCTCCAAAGTCAAGACTTGATTGAGGATAGATTCAAAGTCTCTGTAGTTTTCCAAACAAGGAAAAAAGGCTAACGAGTGATAGCTATCATTTATTGCAAAAACCTCAATCATTACCAACTGATCTGTCAGCATCTCTTGATCCAAGACAGAGGATTTCAGTTTCAGCCGGAAGTATTAATTCTACCAATGGAATTAGTAACAAAAAACCATCTGTCAATGAAGAAGTTTTGTCTACTAACGAGACTAAAGTGTTAGTAGTTGTTGTGATTTTGACCATCTCTCCCCTTTAGCAAAGGAAGGTTCTGAAATTAGAAATGTTGCTGACATTGAAGAAGGCGAGGAGATTTTATGCTCTCCTTATTTCAAGATCTCATTCCTAATTCGAACAACTGCGATAATCACCTTCCTTCTTCTCCTCGGATTAATTCCCCTCTGATTAATTCCATCCAGTCTCCAAAATCTCCTCTTCCAAGGTTCCACTGAAATTTCAAATTATCCTCGTTCATGCAAAATTATTCCTGAAGTTCAGTAAGAAAAGTAAGTAATCCTAACCTTCCATGAAGCTAATTTCCTAAAATACAAGAGGTCTGGGGGACAAAAGTAAACGAAATTCTTTGAAAAAGTTTTTGCAGCAATACTGTCCTGATGTTATCCTTATTCAGGAAACAAAATTTTCAAAGGTTGATATGAGTTTGATCAAATCTTTATGGAGTTCCAAAGTCATTGGTTGGGCAGATGTTGAAGCTATTGGCAGATCAGCCGGAATCGTTACTATGTGGGATGAAAGCGAAGTTTGTGTCCTCGAGGTCCTAAAGGGTGGATATGCTTTATCCATTAAAGTTTCTCTTCTTGTTGAAAAAGTCTTGGATATCAAATGTTTACGGGCCAAATCATTACAGAGAAAGGAGGTTTGGTTGGAATGAATTACAATCAATTCATTCCTATTGCGAAGATTTATGGTGTATCAGAGGAAATTTCAACATAACTCATTGGTCTTCGTAACATCAATGAAGAAAAACAAGAAGCATGAGAATGTTCAACAAAGTTACTTAATATGCTTTATTTTTTAACATGCCAAAACACGCTGTTACCTCTAAAGTTGCAGTGTGGACAACAGTTTCACCAATGTTGATGAATCCGTTGGCAAGAAGTATACAGGAGCAACTACCGCCTATAATTTCAGATAGCTACTGGTATTGCATTCTTCTAAGAACAACACTTGTTGTTTCTTCTATTTGCGTAGCTTTCCTTCTGCCCTTTTTGGCCTTGTGATGGCTTTAATTGGCTCATTTATCAGCATACTTGTGGCGGTAATAATACCAACAATGTGTTTTTTAAAAATCGTGGGAAGGGAAGCTACAAAGATGCAGAGCAGTTCGAGCATCTCCATTATCGGGCTGGGCATCATTAGCGCAACCCTCGTACATATTCTTCTTTGTCAGAAATTACAAGAGTTATTTATGGTACAATTCATGTCTGCAGTCCTTTGGCATCAAAATTTTTAGCTTTTGATATTGCCTGTTATCATCTTTGTTTGTATGCTTAACTAATATACTTAGGTACAACCAACGTATCGAGACAACCATTGATCCTATATATCAAGACAACCAATAGTTAGGGACAACCACATATTAATGCAAATAGTTTCTCTTTATTTATTTTGAAGCAACCAATATTTAGGGACAACCATCATATCTATGCAACCATTGGTCGTATGTTTCGAGGCAACCAATATTAGGGACAACTTATATAACGACGGCAATCATTGGTCCAATTATTTCATAAACTAATATTTAGGGACAACCGTCAAGGCAACCATTGGTTCTTTTTTCCAAGGCAACTAATAAGGACAACCAACATATTAAGACAACTTGGTACAATTATTTCGAGAGAACCAATATTTAGATTCATTTGACCTATCGACGAACCATTGCTCGTTGATTTTGAGGCAACGCCAATATGTAGGGACAACCAACTTAGGAGACAACCGTTGATCGTTTATTTCAAGGCGACCAATATTTAGGGACAATTGGTATATCGAGGCAACTATTGGTCCAATTATTTCTAGGAAACCAATATTTAGGGTCATTTGACATATCGACACAACACAAACATTGTTCATTTATTTTGAGACGGCCAATAAGTTGGGACAACCAACACGTCGAGGAAAC